GGGTCAGTACGTGTCATAGGCCCTGGAACTTGTCCACGCACCTCGAAAATAGCCAAAAGGGGAGAATGTGACACCTAGGGGTTAGGGCCAAAAGGGGAGAATGTGACTTCCAGGGGGATGGGGTGTTGGGGCAGGGGGTGGTGAAGGGGAGGGTCAACAGGTGTCATGAGCCCTTTTTTCTTCTTGCAGGTTGATGGGAGCACTTGAATAAACCTGGACTCTGAGTTTATTCTGAGTTGCAGAGCGGCCGCTCCAAAAGGCTACCTCGAAAATAGCGAACAATGGATACATTCGATGCAACACTGATTTTAAGGGGGTTGGTCACCGCTGGTGTGCTAGGGTGGTTGGGGTTGGGGGGGGAAGGGGGGGGGCTCGCAGACGGTCGACTCAGTACATGTCTTAGCTCCAGTATTAAGTTGCAGGTTGATGGGTCGAGTTCTCCAAGCGATGGAGGTTGTTGATCTCGCGAGACTCATGACACTGACCACTTAGCGACACTTAGCAATGATTGTATCGATTTATTCTTATTTATGTTGCTCCGCAGTTCATATTGCCAACATGAATTACTCTTGTTTATGTCGCTCCAACATGAATTTCGACCTTGTTACAAAAAGTGAACAATCAAAAGGTTCACTTTTAACGAAATGTGTATTTATGATTTTTGGGTCTTTTTTAAGGGCGCAGCCCCCTATGGGGGGCGACCAAAAAGGCACAAAAGAGTAGCTCAGAAAGTTAAACCGGCGGTCGTGGCGCGAAAGCGATCTGCGCTAGACGGGGTATCTGAAGAAGCGATTGCCAGAGAGATTAAAGAAAGTAAGAAGAGGGAGCCGCAACGGTTAACGGAGGAGAGGATAGCAGAGATGGATATAGAAGATAAGAACTTGACAGAACAAGAGAGGGAGCGCGTTCTGGAGGTCCTTAAGACTTGTGATAAGGCTATAGCCTTCAGTGACGAGGAGAGAGGGAGAATTGATCCAAGATATGCTAAACCTGCTAGGATCTACACAATTCTGCACACTACATGGAATGACGCAGGGTGAAAGTTTGCACAAAAGGAGAAGGAAGAAGTAATTGCCTTTCTAAAAGAGAAGATGGCATCACATGTGGCGGAACCATCAGATAGCGCATACGCGAATAGATGGTTCTTCATACGGAAGCCCAACGGGAAAATCCGTTGGATTCAGAATCTTCAGAAGGTGAATGTGGTCACCATCCGGGATGTCGGGTCCATACCGCATACTGATCTATTAGCAGAGGGAGCGGCAGGCAGATTGATCTACTCTGTCAGCGATCTCTTTTTAGGTTATGATGAGATACCTTTAGATCCCAGAGATAAACATCTCACTGCCATGCACACACCGCTTGGATTAGTGCTGATGATGGTGGTACCTATGGGTTGGATCAATGGAGTTGCTGTCTTTCAGAGAGCTTGCTTGTTCTAAGAGACTTCATTTTTGATAAAGTTGAAGTGTTCCTAGACGATTTTTCCATAAAAGGGTCGGTAATGAAAGACGAGACGGAGGTCGCTCCTGGAGTGGGGAGGTTCGTGGAGCAACACTTGATCGATATCTATGCGATTCTGGAGCAGCTAGACGATGGTAATCTGACGGTGAGTGGGATAAAGAGCAGATGAGCGGTTTCGTCAATCAAGATGTTAGGGTTTATTTGTGATTCGAGAAGACGACGAGCGGATCCAGCGAAGCTAGATGGACTCTTGAATTGGCCGTTGCCGTTGCATAGTGCTACCGAAGTCCTCCAATTCCTAAAAATTGTCGGTTACTGGCGGATCTTCATATGTGGGTACGCGGAGAAAGCGGAGCTTCTACGGATTCTCCTTAGGAAAACTTAGCGATTTTACTAGGATTCTCCTCAGAAGCTTGCGATGTGAACCCTCAAGGGAGAGTTTAAAGAAGGGGGACGAATCCTAGGTGTGCCATTTTTCGAGGACGAAATCATTAGACCCTTCATAGCGTCTACGGGTGTTGGGCCCTGTTTGGTCGGAGGACTGCTTTCGCAGAAGGATGTTGAAGGTAAGGAGAGGCCGCTGAGATTTGAGAGTCGTAAACTTAACACTGTTGAACGCAACTACAGTCAATTTAAAAAGGAAGTGTTGGTAGTTCTACGGTGCTTGGATGCCTTTAGACACTAGATATATGGGAGACGATTCGTCCTACGAGTAGATCCTACTGTTGTGGAATCGATTTTACAGAAGGACTTCAGTTTGACCGACCCCACTATTGCGTGATGGTTGATCAAGACTCGACTCTACGACTACACTGTTGAAAGGGTCTTGGGCATGAAGAATGCGGTAGCCGATGAACTTTCACGAATTCCAATTGAGGCAGAGTGGCCGATAGTTGCAGCGACACTGACTATAACTGAGCCTAGACGTACGGATCGTTTCCTAGTGAACCTTTATGAAGGAAAGTACCAAACGCTCGGATTGTATCTATCATGAGAGGAGAGTTCAGATTCAGAGATCAGTGGACAGGCAAATCAGTACTACCTTAGATTTGGACATTTATTCCGCAGACGCATATAGTCAGGGATGCCTCCACGAGTGGTCTGTGATCTCGAGGAGAAGCAAGCGATAGTAGCGGAACTTCACGACGGCCTAGTTGTTGGGCATAGAGGAGTGAAAGGCACGTACAAGAGGGTGCGCAAATTATACTGGTGGGAAGGTCAGTACAAGGACGTTGAGAACTACTGCACGACCTGTGAGGAGTGTCAGAAAAGAGCATTTGTGAGATACAAGGAGCCGCTTCATCCTTCCTATCCTACTAGACTGGGCGAGAAAGTACATACTGATCTTGTGAAGAATGCCAAAAGCAGTAGGGAACATGAATTATGTGGTGAACATCAGAGATGACTTCACGGGGTTTGTCGACGGAAAACCCATTAGGATAAAGGCGGCCAAAAAAGTCAAAAACTTTGTTCTGGAATATCTATCTAGGTATGGGTGTGTTAGTAGGATTGTGATGGACAGAGGAGTAGAGTTCGTAGCAGATGAGGTCCAAAATGTGTTTAAGAAAGCGGGAGCTGGAGTCTCTATAGCCACTGCCTATCATCCTCAGACCAATTCACCCGTAGAACGGGGTCATCAGTCCTTGATAGCATCATTGTCCAAGTGGTGCAGAGGGAAAGATAGTGATTGACCGAAATATTTTCGGTATGCGATATGGGCAGACAATGTCACAGTCCAAACTAGCACGGGTTATCCGCCTTATACTCTGTGGTTCGGGATACACTGCCCTCTGCCCATAGAGTTTCATATTGAAAGTTGAACTACGGTTGCCTAGGCGGACAATATGTCGCGAGAAGAGTTCCTGGCAACTCGAACGAGACAGATAACCTACGAATTAGAGGACAACCTCATGATGGCAGCTGATCGGTTGGCGGTGAAGAGAAAAAAAGAGAAAGAGAGATGGGATAAGAATGTCAAGATTAGGAAGGAGAGGATAAGTGTAGGTGATATGGTGCTTCGATACGACGCAGCCTTAGAGAGAACATGGTCGGGAAAGTTAGCAAGTCGATGGATGGGCCCCTACCTCGTAGTCGACACGCTCGACTCGGGGACGTATATGATCGCTGAATTAGATGAGTCTAAATGAAAAGATCATGTGGCAGGGGCTAGATTAAAGTTATTTAGACCAAGGGAAACCCCTGCCCCTACACCAACATTATCGGATCCGAAGGGGAAGGGGAAAGCCAAGGTGACCGATGAGGGACCGTCGAGATGGTTTGTTGTAGTCGAGAGTTCGAAGAAGAGGAAGAGAGTGGAGATAAGGAAAGTAAAAGGCTTGACGCCAGGGAAGAAAAATAAGTGGCTCTTCGTACTACGTAGACCTGAACGAAGAGTCCGCATTAGGCGAAGCAGTGCGCTCCGATCACCTCCACTTCAACGAAGGAAGAAGTTGAAAAACGTTCCTGTACCTAGGCCAAAATGAGTGCGACGTAAGAGAGGCAAGAAGCACCCTCTTAGTCCCAGAGTCTCTGAAAGGCCTAAACACAAGACGGATAAGCGCAAACATAAAAGGCGCACGCGTGTGGTCACTTTAAATCTTATACGGTTCGTCTGACCGAGACGACGCGGACTCGACGGGGGCGTCGAGAAGAGGTCCAGGCTTATTGTCGGGCGGCCGTAGGCCAGTCAGCCACCCGAAATACCAAGGATTGAGCATTGGGATAAATGCCTAAGAGAGAATCAGTTGGCACTTTCATCAGAGCCATCGAGAAAAATTAGGGGTCGGGAAGGGATCCCTAAAATTCCCTGCATCAATTATTAAAACCGATCCTTGAAATTAACATGATGAACAACCTCGTCTGCCGCGCCTAGCGACTGCCATTTTTCGTTTTGTCTGAGGTTGCTCCCAATGCGGCCCGCAACGGAGCCAGGATGTGGTGTTGGGGCTCGGCGCACCCCTGTTACACTAGGCAGTTGATGGGGGAATGAACCCTCACATTTTTATTAATTTTAACGACAAAGTTAAAAATTGCAAAAAAGAATTAAAAATAATAAAAGGGCAGAAAATAACTGAATATTTGTTATTTAATTAAATTTCATCGAAATTTACCCCTGATAAAATTGCCTTCTATTTTCATAAATTCCAATAAGAGGATTGACAATGAGCAAAATAGTTAAAAATAAACAAAGAGGAGGAAACGAATGATTAATTATTATTTGATTCATTGATGAATTTTTATCGAAAATTATTTAATTACCCTCAACCGTTGATCCGTGCGAGCCCCGATGACTCCCACGCTATGTATCCCCCCCGGAGGCAGACAGGCGCGGCCAAGTCCGCGGTCGCGGCCAGTCCGCGAAGGCCGCGGACGTGTCCGCGCGGACGCGCGGATTCGCAGACACATGGCGGCCGCAGGGGAGAGGGTTTCACAAATCTGGCGGCGCCACGTGGCGGCGCATCCCCTGCCCCACCCCCCCCACACAAAAAAAAAAAAAAAACGATGAACTTTTGGTGGGGGGGGTACGGG